AGCTCCCATTCCTGCTCTTGTTTGAGCCAGGTCTCCGAGATTGCTACTGCATCATAACCCCATGTGGTAACTTGAGCCTGCCGCCCACCAATCTTATTTGTCATATTTGTCAGATTATTTTCTAGAGGGGAAGAGACGAGGTAATGTTAGTATTGTTGTTTGGAACAGGGAGATGGAATAGGGGCTTTCTCCCTCCACTCCACAGATCGCCCTGGTATTGCAGTGTCTCCAGGTACGGTGCTCTTCCCTCGGGAGATCTCAATCAATGACAGATAGGCTATTAAAAAAATGCAGCGAGATATAGATGGGTTAGGTGATTGGGCAGGTAGGCGGCAGATGAAATATAATGTAGGGAAGTGCGAAGTCATCCATCTAGGTAGCAAAAACAGTAGAGCGGGTTATTTTTTAGAAGGGGAGAGATTGGAATGTGTTAGTGTCCAGAGGGACTCGGATGTCCTTGTACACCAATCACAGAAAGATAGTCTGCAGGTGCAGCAGCAATTAGGAAGGGGAACGGTATGTTAACATTCATTATGAAAGGATTAGAGTATAAGAGTAGGGAATTCTTGCTGCAACTGTATAGGGCCCTGGTGAGACTACACCTGGAATACTGTGTGCAGTTTTGGTCTCCTTATTTAAGGAAGGATGTACTTGCCTTAGAGGGGGTGCAGCGTAGATTTACTAGGTTAGTACCAGGGATGAAGGGGATGAGATACGAGGATGGGCTGACCAATTTGGTCCTATATTCTCTAGAATATAGAAGAATTAGAGGGGATCTTATAGAAACCTATAAGATCACCAAAGGGCATGATAGAGTAGATAGTGGGAGATTGTTTCCCCAGTTGGAGAAACTAAAGCTAGGGCTCACAAACTTAAAGTCAGAAGCAGCCCTTTCGCACTGAGTTGAGGAAAAACTTCTTTACTCAAAGGGCAGTGAATGTATGGAACTCACTGCCCCAAAGGGCTGTTGACGCTCAGTCCTTGAACATATTCAAGACTGAGATAGATAGATTTCTTATTGCAAAAGGGATTAAGGGATATGGGGATAAGGCAGAGTTAGGTTATTAGCTGGAGTTAGATTGGAAGATCAGCCATGATTGAATGGCGGGGCAGGCTCGAAGAGCCGAATGGCCTACTCCTGCTCCTACATGATATGTTATTTTTTTTTGTGTTTGGTCGGGCATCTGACACATTCGGAAACTCATCATCATGCCACCTCCTACCCTGCTGTTTCTCATCCCCCTTTCCCATTTCCCGGATTCTGTCTTTGTAATAAAATAGTAGTTTCAAAACCGAAATATCTCAACATTTGACATGGCGGAGCCTTAAAGTCACTCTAAGAGCACAGGGCAGAAGTCCTTGTGGGAGTCCCAGGCCAGTGAGTGATGGGTAACTGTGAGCAACAGCAACAACAACAACAAATTACATTTGTATAACACCTTTCACATCAGGAGAACATCCAAAGATGCTGGACATTCAGGGATCCGCACCCGAGTTGGTGGTTGGGATCATGAGGGTGGGGAGGGAAGGGATAGGAGGGTGACCAAAGGCACGGTTGAAGAGGAGGGTCTTGAGATGAGTCTCGAAGGAGTCAAGGAAGAGGATGAGTCAGACAGTCTGTGGCATTGAGTTCCAGAGGATGGGAGCAGAGCGGCTAAAGATCCACCTGCCAATGGTGCAGCGGGCAAGGTGGAGGGACATGAAGCATGCCGGAGCCCGGTAAGCGGAGGTGGTGGACAGCTTGTTAGTGGTTTAGGAGGTCACAAAGGTATGGAGGAGCAAGGCCCTGGAGGACTTGGAAGGTGAGGACAAGGAGGACAAGGACCTTGAACCAAAAGCTCAAGGCACAAGTGTGAGCTGCCGAACGTGCCTGGACCAAATCCAACTAATGGTCCATCGGCAGATTTGGCTTCACTCAACCAAGACCTACCACTGCACTCTTGCCTCTGCCAAATCCTCCTTCTACTCCAAGTTATCTTGGAGGCAAAGGACAACCCCAGACTTCTCTTTTCCACCACAAACCAGAAATAGAGATGAACCAAGGGGCTAATGATAGGGAGCAACTTCGGAAAATTTACAACAGCAAACAATTGGTGCTAGGGAAATTGTTGGCATTAAAAAGTGACAGGTCTGCTGGACCTGATGATCTGCATCCTAGGGTTTTAAAAAAGGTAACTCATGAGATAGTGAAGGCCTTGTGTCTGATCTTCCAAAATTCTTTGGATTCTGGAACAGTACCTATTGATTGGAAGATCGTAAACGTCAAACCACTATTTAAGAAGTGTGGGAGAGAAAAGATGGGGATCTATAGACTAGTTAGTTTGACATCAGTGCTAGGGAAAATTCTAGAATCCTTAATTAAGGATGTCGTAGTGGGATACTTAGAGGATCACAATATGATTAGACAGAGTCAATATAGCTTTACAAAAGGTATTTCATGCTCAACAAATCTTTTCGATTTTTTTGAGAACATATCAAGTAGATTAGATGGGGGGAATCAGTGGATGTAGTGTATTTAGATTTCCAAAAGGCATTCAATAAGGTGCCGCATAAAAGGTTGATCCACAAGATTAGGGTCCATGGAATTAAGGGGAATATATTAGCGTGGATTGAAGAATGACTAACGGGAAGAAAACAAAGAGTAGGGATAAACGGGTCCTTCTCAGATTGGCGGGATATGACTAGTTAACTGTCACAACGATCAGTGCTCGGGCCTCAACTATTTACAATCTACATCGACGATCTAGATGAGGACATCAAACTCAATCTATCCAAATTCGCGGATGACACTAAACTAGGAGAGAGAGTAAACACCAAGGATGACATTAAAAAAAATGCAACAAGATCGAAATTTGTTAGGGGGGTGGGCAAATAGGCGGCAGATGAAGTATAATGTAGGGAAGTGTGAGGTCATCCACCTCGGTGGCAAAAACAGTAGAGCAGATTATTTTTTAGAAGGGGAGAGACTGGATAGTGTTAGCGTTCAAAGGGACTTGGGTGTCCTTGTACACCAGTCACAAAAAGTTAGTTTGCAGGTACAGCAAGCAATTAAGAAGGCTAACGGTGTGTTGGCATTTGTTTCTAAAGGGTTGGAATATAAGAGTAGGGAAGTCTTGCTGCAACTGTATAGGGCCCTGGTGAGACCACACCTAGAGTATGGTGTGCAGTTTTGGTCTCCTTATTCAAGAAAGGATGTACTATATAGGCCTATATTCTCTAGAATATAGAAGAATGAGAGGTGAACTTATAGAAATCTATAAGATTATTAAGGGACACGACAGAATAGGTAGTTGGAGACATTTTCCCCTAGTTGGAGAAACTATAACCAGGGGTCACAGTCTTAAAATTAGGGGTATGGGCTGTAGATGCTCAGTCCTTGAACATGTCCTTGAACATGTGGAGTCCTGTAGCTCAATGGTTAGAGTACTCGCCTTGCAAGCAAGACACCTGGGTTCAGTTCCTGGCAGGGCGAAACCTTGGGCAAGTTTTTTTACTCCACACGCCTAATAATAATCCCTCAAAGCAAAAACAATAATAAATCGGTCATTTTCAATCCACGACTGTTTGTGGGACACTGCTGGTCGCAATTGGCTGCTGCCTTTCGCCCACAAATATACGGTCAATTCACTTTACAGTCTATTCTGTGAAGCACTTTGAGATGTCGAGAAGATGTGAAAAGTGCTATATCAAATGCAAGGATTATTGTTATTATATTCAAAACTGAGATTGATAGATTTCTTGTGGATAAAGGGATTAAGGGATACGGGGATAAGGAGGGTAGGTGGAATTAGAATAGATCAGCCATTATCTTATTGAATGGCGGGGCAGGCTTGAGGGGTCGAATGCTTCAAATTCTTATGTTCTTATGCTCTTATGTCCTCCGTCCACCATCCCATGCCTCGCCCATCCTCCCCTCAAACTTCAACTGTAAGGAGATGCTGGACTTCCTCGAATCCAAACTCGAGGGGATATGTTCAGCCACCTCTGCCCATCCACCGCTAACCCCGCATCACCTCTCCCTCATGACCCACTCCCCACCCATCCCCCCCCTATACTCCTTCGACTCTATCTCTCCCTCCTCCCTCACGGCGACTCCCGATGTGGGACTGGAACTCACAACCTTCTGACTCAGAGGTGCCATCATTACTACTGCGCCAGTGAATTGAGGATTTTGTTTAAGACGGTGCAGAATTTTGATCGCGCTGTAAATGTCCGGTGAATCTGGAGCTACACGACTGCGCAGTACACAGTGACGGCCTGGAGTGCTGGATGCGCAGTGTAGATGGAGGTTTACTTCTCAACAACATTTACACAGTGCTCCTCACGTAGGATCATGTCCCAGAGTGCTTATCAGAGGCAGAACACGATGCCGAGCCGTGGGGAGGGGGAGGTGACCGTAGGCACAGTCAAAGAGGAAGGTCTTCAGGCAGGACCTGAAGGTGGGGAAGGAGGGGACAAGTCGGAGGGATAGAGGAAGAGTGGTCCAGAGTTTCGGGGCACAGTGGATGGTGGGACGGAGAGAACAATGGGCAACCAGGAGCCAGTCGAGCGGAGGTGGAGGGCTGTATGTTAGTTGTAAGCAGTTTGGAGAGATAGGGTGGTGCCAAGTCATTAAGGGATTTGAAAACGAGTGCGAGGATCATGAACTTGATGCTTTCAGCAATAGGGAACCAGTGGAGCCTGGCGAGACATGGTGTGTGGTGTGATGCTCACCCATGTCTGTATCTAATCTGTCCGGTAGCTGACCTGCGAGAGCTGTAATAATAATAATAATAACCCTTGCATTTGACATAGTGAATTATCTCGTTGTTGAGACGTCTCAAATTGCTTCACAATATATACTGTAAAGAGGATTGACTGTGCATTGTTTGGGTCAAATGTGGCAGCCGATTGCGAACAGCAGTGGCCACATACACTCATGGATTCAGTGACCTCTCTCTCTCTCACACTCTCTCTCTCTCTCACACTCTTTCTCAGAAACACAAAGACCAGACTGATCATGAGATGAATGATATTTATTTATTGCCCTCCGCCCTGTTGTTCAGGGAGTGGGTTACAAGCTACAGGAGGCCGGTGGCTGAGACATTGACAATCCCATCCTTTCTCCTGCGCTGGTGACAGACAGCGCTCCATTCCGCTGCCTCAGCTTTGCCTTCTTTATCTGCAGCAAATGCCCCCAACATCAGAGCAAAATCCAATACGTCTCTGTGTTGTCAGACACGAATCCGCGCAAACTCCTCCACGCCATTCACAATGCCGGGACGAACTTCGTATCACCACTCCAGCTCCACCTATAGCTGTAACTGCACAGTTACTCTCAGTTACACAGCGCCGCTCACACCACACGGACATCTCAGAGCTTCACAACAGCTCACACTCACACAGCGTCACTCACACCGCGCGGATGATGTGTGGGGAGCGAGTCGGGCGGGGAGTGCAGGGCTGGAGGGGGTCGGTGAGGAGGAGAGAGACGAACATTGGGGTTTACTCACCTCGACTGGTGACTCCCTGAGCCATGAACAGCACAGAGAGAGCGAGCACTAAGCAGTACATGGTCTCTGGAAGTCTGGAAGCCTTGTAAAGACCGCAGAGACACGTTGGTCAGAGACTGTATGAAGTTGTCTGAATATGAGAGGTATTTATCCCCTTCACATACTGAGGGCAGCGGTGACATATGCAAAGCACTCCGACTGCTTTCATTGCCAATGTGAGGGGTGTTTCACACTCGGTTTGCAAAATAATGAGTCATTTGTGATGATGGAGAGATACAAGAGCAGGTGCTCCATCCTGTGTTCTGGGCAACAGACCAATTCGCTTGCGGCTGTTTGAGGGGACGTTGTTGGTCTCCAATTGGCTGCCATGTTGACCCACAAAACACACGGTCACTGCACTTTATAGTGAAGAATTATGAGGGGATCTGGAAAGCATTGCCTGAAAGGCTGGTGGAAGCCGATTAAATAACAACTTTCAAGAGGGAAGCAGATATTTATTTGGGGAGGACAAGTTTGCAGGACTATGGGGAGAGAGTTGGGTAGTGGGATTGAATTGGATAGTACTTTTCAAAGAGCCGGCACAGACACAAGGGGTCGATTGGCCTCCTTCTTTGCTGTATAATCCTATTACTATGATATGGGGAAAATGTTGCTGTCTGAGACGGTGTTGATGTAATTGTGATTAGCACTAATGGCAACAATTGATCCCAACATTTTACCTTTTCAGTGACATGGTTTTTAGATTTGGGTCCATACTTTCCACTATTCCCGATGATTGACGATGGTGTAAGATGGAATTCCTGTGTAATTCCTAGTAATTGTGCTGCACATCCCATCACCTTCCTTGTAAAGTGAGACCCTTGATCCGAATCAATAGCATTGGGCTATTTGTTGTAGTCACTGTAACGTCGTGGCGCTGATTGATGTCCAGACGTGGGAGCATCATGTACTTTGTTGTAAAAAGTCATTCTGACACATTGTCGGAACCTCCCACAAATCTTTGTAAAACAGCAAACCATGTTTAACACTTTAATTTGATCCATGACTTGAATATTGATTATTCGCGACAACTTTAGAATTTAATTTATTAGCCAAAAATGTCGGGAAGAGGAATGTTTAAACGTAATGTCACGTCCTTGAAACAACAAGGTCCATGGAGCCAGACAGACATTTGATAATGATCCATCTTTTAACTGACCGTCTAAAAGTAATTCTTTCGTGGTGTGATAGGTTATCAAAACATAGGTGAAACCAAGAATCTATTGGAAATTGCATTGTCCCAAAATTGGCTAATAGATTTTTCACATTTCTAAAAATGTAATTCTACAGAGTCAATACTCTGGATTCACACAACATTGGACACTGTTTATCGGTTTGTGTTGTAATAAAACTGCTGAAATAGAGAAATCTGTCCTTCTTAAAACTCCTTGTTGCAGTAATGAATTTAAAGGATCTGGTGAGCAGGTGGTTAGTATTGTCAAGTCTGGATGTTACCAACTCTGCTCTCACTGAGTGTGTGTCTAACCATTATCACAATATCTGGGTGTTTGCATAGGACAAGGTGTGTGGCTGAATGAGCTCAGTCTGAAGTCAAATAAACTCAGGTTTGCAAATCTCCCACTCACACACAGAAGTCCAACCGACCATCTCACATCCCAACATCCGTATTACTTTAGGGATTTAATAAAGAGACCAATACATATGTAATTTCCTCTCCTATTTCCTTTAACACCCTGGGGTGGAACTATCAGGTCCTGGAGATTTGTCTATCTTGAGTCTCATTATTTTCTCCATTGACAATATGTTATATATATTAATTTTATTAAGCATTTCTCTTTGACTTATTTTTAGGTTCCCCTGTATGACTGGTATTTTGTCCTCAGCCTCTACTCTAAAAACAGTTGCAAAGTATCTGTTTAACAAGTCAGCCATTTCCTTTTTTTTTCGTCATATTCTCACCTACATCTGTCTTTACCGGACAATACATTTCTGTTGACCATTTTCTTTCTTTTCATTTATTTATAAAAGCTTTTACTAATGGTTTTAATATCCCTCGGAAGTTTTTTTTACACACCCTTTATGCTCCTCTTAATACTTTCTTTGTGTCCCTTTGTTGACTTTTATAGTTCTCCCAGTCCTCTGCATTCACACTTTTTCTTACATTTGAGTAAGCTTTTCCTTTAGCTCGATACAGCCTCTAACCTCTTTTGTCGACCATGGTCGCTTCACTACACGATGTGGAGCTTTTGCATTTTAGGGGTATGTACTTGTTCTGTATTGTATCAAATACTTTTTTCAATACTTCCCGTTGTTCTTCTGCAGCTTTACCCACTAACAGCTCAGCCCAGTTTACTGTGGTCAGTATATTTATCATCCCATCGAAGTTGACCTTACTTACACTTAAATTTATACCCTTGGTTTGGAAATCTCCCTTTTCCCTCTCAAATCCAGTCACTGTGTGTCAACGTAGCTCAGTCTCTTTGTGGCAGCCTGGCTCAGTTACTGTACGTCAGCCTGGCTCAGTCACTGTACGTCAGCCTGGCTCAGTCACTGTACGTCAGCCTGGCTCAGTCACTGTACGTCAGCCTGGCTCAGTCACTGTACGTCAGCCTGGCTCAGTCACTGTACGTCAGCCTGGCTCAGTCACTGTACGTCAGCCTGGCTCAGTCACTGTACGTCAGCCTGGCTCAGTCACTGTACGTCAGCCTGGCTCAGTCACTGTACGTCAGCCTGGCTCAGTCACTGTACGTCAGCCTGGCTCAGTCACTGTACTTCAGCCTGGCTCAGTTACTGTACATCAGCCTGGCTCAGTCATTTTACGTCAGCCTGGCTCAGTCACTGTACGTCAGACTGGCTCAGTCTCTGTACGTCAGCCTGGCTCAGTCACTGTACGTCAGCCTGGCTCAGTCTCTGTACGTCAGCCTGGCTCAGTCACTGTACGTCAGCCTGGCTCAATCTCTGTACGTCAGCCTGGCTCAGTCACTGTACGTCAGCCTGGCTCAGTCACTGTACGTCAGCCTGGCTCAGTCTCTGTACGTCAGCCTGGCTCAGTCACTGTACATCAGCCTGGCTCAGTAACTGTACGTCAGCCTGGCTCAGTCACTGTACTTCAGCCTGGCTCAGTTACTGTACATCAGCCTGGCTCAGCCATTTTACGTCAGCCTGGCTCAGTCACTGTACGTCAGACTGGCTCAGTCACTGTACGTCAGCCTGGCTCAGTCATTTTACGCAGCCTGGCTCAGTCACTGTACGTCAGCCTGGCTCAGTCACTGTACGTCAGCCTGGCTCAGTCACTGTACGTCAGCCTGGCTCAGTCTCTGTACGTCAGCCTGGCTCAGTCACTGTACGTCAGCCTGGCTAACTCACTGTGTGTCAGCCTGGCTCAGTCACTGTACATCAGTCTGGCTAACTCACTGTGTGTCAGCCTGGCTCAGTCACTGTACGTCAGCCTGGCTCAGTCACTGTACGTCAGCCTGGCTCAGTCACTGTACGTCAGCCTGGCTCAGTCACTGTACGTCAGCCTGGCTCAGTCACTGTACGTCAGCCTGGCTCAGTCACTGTACGCCAGCCTGGCTCAGTCTCTGTTCGTCAGCCTGGCTCAGTCACTGTACGTCAGTCTGGCTAACTCGCTGTGTGTCAGCCTGGCTCAGTCACTGTGTGTCAGCCGGGCTCCCAATCTGTACAGAACAACTCAGTTATACAACGCCACTTACACGACTCAGAGCTTCACAATGCCTCGCACTCACACAGTGCCGCTCACACCGCACGGACAATGTGTTGGGGGGGAGGGAGCTGGGGGGAGGGGAAGGAGGAGAGAGACGAGCATTGGGATTTACTCACCTAAACCAGGAATATCACACCTCCTATCCCTCGAACCTCCTCTCTTCTCACAGCACTACCCGCTGCCTCCGCCACCTGTGCAACTTTGCCCGACTCCACCACTACCTCACCGCTCAGGCCAGCAAAATGCGGTGCCTTGCTCCAGCTCTGCAACATTGCTCGACTCCGCCACTGGTTCACCCCTCAGGCCGCCGAAACCTTCATAAACACAATCGTCATCTGAAGGCTCTACTACGGAAACTCCCTCCTTGTCGGTCTCCCCAATTCTTAGATCGTGTCCTATCCCCCACCATCACCCCCCACCGTCGCTCGGCTCCATTGACATCCCATCCCTCAGAGGATAGAATTCAAATTCCTCATTGTCACTTTCAAAGCCCTCCACGGCCTTACGCCCTCCAACCTCTCTGACCTGCTGACCCTATCAACTTGCCCACTCCATCCGTTCAGCAAACTCCGGCTTGCTCCATGTCTCCAGCCCGGCACACCCTACCATTGGGGGCCTGGGCTTTCATCCTCTCTGCCCCCACCCTGTGAAACTCCATCCTACAGTCCCTTCACCTCGCTCACTCTCTTGCCTGCTTCAAGGCACAGCTCAAGACGCTCCTTTTCGACTCTGCCTTCAAATATTTTCAAAGAAGAAAAATAATAACAAAAAAATTGGTCACTTCAATCCATGGCTGTCGATGGGACGCTGCTGTGCGTAATTATTTAATTCGCCCACGAATATAAACTCAATTCACTTTGCAGTATTTTCTGTGAAGAGCTTTGACACGTCTCAGTAATATCAAAAGCGCTATATCAAATGCAAGGATTATTATTACTACAATTATTGTTATTATCATTATTATTATTATTATTCTTATGTGTGTGATATGGGGAGCATGTGCTATGCCATATTTGTCCCTCCTATTTGTCCCTCTTCCCCTCAGCTCCACCATCGGTGACTGTGCCTTCAGTCACTATGCCCTGAAACTCTGGAAGTCTCCCCCCCAGTCCCTCCGCCTTGCCCCCTCCATCCCCACTTTCAAATCGCACCTGGAGATCTTTCTTTTTGATCGTGTTTACAGTCACCTCTCCCCTTCCTCTCCCCCAGCCTCGGGGTCAGACTCCACCACTGTGAAGCGCTCTGGGACGCTACCCCATGTGAAGGGCGCTATATAAATGAAAGTTATTGTGTGTGTGGTGGTGGGAGGTGCTCAGGGCTATCGCTCTAGATCCGAAAACCTGCCATGATCACAGTCAGCACTGTGTGAAAAGACATGTCACAAAACGTACCTCTTTGATCGGGCTTTTGGCCATCTTCCCCTTGGCTCCCAGGCCCTCAGCGTCAGGTGCTTTGAGACGTCCTCCTGACGTGAGCAGCGCTGGATCAATGTAAATTGTATTGTAACAACTTGTATTGAACAGCATTTGGGATATAAATTCAGAACAACAACAACAACAACACAATTGTATTTGTACTGCGCCTTTCACGTCGGGAGGACGTTCCAAGGTGTTGGACAATCAATGTTTCAGACCGAGTTGGGGGTTGAGGTCGGGGAGGGTGGAGGGCAGGGGGAGGGAGGGTGATTGAAGGCAAGGTCAAAAAGGAGATGAGTCCTGAAGGAGACAAGGGAGCGAATATAAAAGTGGAGTCCTGTAGCGTCGTGGTTAGCACGCTCACTGCGCATGGGGCAGGAACTTAGGCAAGTCTGCTTCCTCCACACGCCTCTGGTTACCAGCTGTCAACAGAAACCTCGATTGGCGGATCGCTTTCTGCGGATAATAATCCCTCCAAAAAACAATTGGGTCACTCAATCTACGACTGTTTTGTGGGACACGGCCACGCGCCATTGTCTGCCGTGTTTGCCCCACAAAATATACAATCAATTCCTGATACGACGTATTCTCAATGACCTGATAAGGCGCGATATCAAATGCAAGGATTACTTTTGTCGTATTTGCGGAGCTGACGGAGAACCTGGTGGGCTGTAGGACCCAGAGGCGATGGACTTGGACTGTTTTGCTGGCAAGAAGACCTTCCTCTTCCTGCTTGCTTCCTCCTTCACTGAGGCATCTGCGTAGCGGCTGACGCTCTGTTGCTGACGGCCCCCGGGATGCAGGGCTGGAGCCTGATCCAGGTCTGGGCTCTACTGTCAATCAGCCTCAGCTGTCAATCACTGACGGACCCCAATTGGGGTCCCATCGACTCGCGGCCGCTACCAGAATGGTTCGACCGAGCAAAGTTTGGGGTCTTCATCCACTGGGGGGTGTTCTCAGTCCCCAGCTATGGCAGCGAATGGTTCTGGTGTGTATTTGGTTTCGTTCTCATCTAAACTCTGGAACTCTCTCCCGCAATTCCCTCCGCCTTGCCCCCGCCTTCCCCATCTTCAGGTCGCGCCTTAGGACCTTCCTCCTCGACCGTGCCTATGGTCACCCCCTCCGACCGGCTCGACGTCGAACTCCGCCACAGTCAAGCGCTCTGGGACGCTACCCCCACGTGAGGGGCGCTGTGTAAATCCAAGTTGTTGTTGTGCGTGTGTGATACGAGGAGCGTGTTTGTGTGTGTGTGTGATTGGCGGTGGGGTATGTGTGTGTGTGTGTGTGTATGGTCAGGCATCACGTGAACCTGAGTGTTGTTCCCCTCCCCCCAATGAAAAAGCACATCAGCTGTTTTGGAATAAGGAAGCTGAGAGGGGTGGGAGGTGCTCAGGGCTATCGCTCTGGATCCTAAGACCTGTCACGATCACAGTCAGCACTACATGAAAAGACATGTCACAAAACGTACCTCTTTGATCGCGCTTTTGGTCATCTTTCCCCCTTGGCTCCCAGTCCCCCCCCAGCGCCTGGTGCAGTATGAACAGCGCTGTATCAATGTAAATTGTAATGCAACGACTTGTATTGAACAGTGTTTGGAAGAAAAAAGTGGAGTCCTACAGTGACAGGACTTTAGGCAAATTTCCTTACTCCACACACCTCTGTTTACTTTGCAGGAAGTAGGAACCTGGTCGTTAGTCAATTAGCGAATTGCTTTCCAGGGGTAATAATCCCTTCAAAAATATCAGCCACTCTTCTACCGCCACCCTTCCCGCCATCCCTGTCCAACCCACCCCCCCCCGGGGTCCTAATCCCTGACTGTTCAGACCCTGACGAAGCCCCCCAGTGAAAGGCTTACAAATGTAATTTTGTTATGATTGGTTCTATAGATCGGTGGAACAGTCTCGAGGGCTGAATGGCTACACTGTTCCTATGTTCATGATTGATTGACTATTGATATGCACTATGATCTCCCGCAGGTATTACTGGCAGAAAGCAGAAGCTGACACCCTATGTGGAGTTTATGGACAAGAACTACCCTCCGGGGTTCAGCTACGCTGACTTTGCTCCCATGTCACGGCTGAGTTTTTTGATGCTGTCCAGTGGGCCGACCTGCTCAATGACTCGGGGGCCAAGTATGTGGTTCTCACAACCAAACATCACGAAGTAAATGTTGACTCACCCTTCTCTTGTCCCTTCTCCTCTCCCCCCCCTGTCTTCCTGTAGTATATTGGTCAGAGCACTCACAGCGAGAGGACCCGGGTTTAATCCTGGGCAGGACGAAACCTTAGGCAAGTTTCCTTACTCCACCCATCTCTGTTTACCCAGCATAAGTAGGAACCCGTTGTTAGTCGATTGGCGGATTGCTTTCTGGGGTAATATCCCTTAAAAAAAGAAAAATAGTTAAAAAAATTCCACGATGTTTGTGGACACTGCTGTAGCAATTGGCTGCTGCATTCGCCCACAAAATATACAGTCAATTCACTTAACATATTTCTGTGAAACGCTTTGAGACGTCTCAAAGATGTATGAGGCGCTGTGTCAAAAAGATTATTATTATAGTGCAACTCAGTCCGCTTTTCCTTTCGGTCAGCCGGGTGTCTGACACGTGCGGAAACCCCTTGCCATACTGCTTAATGCTTAAGAGTCACCAACCGAGCTGAGAATTCCACGCATCCCATCTCCACATGGAAACTCCAGAGATAGATGTCGGAATGGAATGCGCACTCTCTCCTGGAGGGATTGCTTATCAAATTCCAGAAAGTGTTAGCGGGGTTGGCAAGAGACATGGCTTGGGGACCCAGAGTGTGTGTTGGGGTAACTGCTGGAGGTGAGTGGGAGGATTTCCTGCCCCCAGTGACTGGTCTGCTCTTCCAAGTCCTGCCAATGAGCCAGGCCGGGGCTGTGCTGTCATCAGCAGTGGCCTGGAATACTGCGGACCCGCCTGGCTCAGGAACCGTATGGAGACCGTCACCGAGGGTTGGCTCCATTCTGACATTCTGTTGCATAACATGTCAACTGCAAGGATTATTATGTTACTTTGGAGTCAGTTCAGCTACAAGGAGACCCTACGTACCCAAAGGAGGATAGTCAGTCACTTTAGCTTAAATCCACAAAGTTCGTGAGCTCTGAGGTTGGTCGGTGTTCTCTGGGTTGGTGTCATTGATTCAAAATCCTCACATCTGTCTTCCCAATCCTTTACGCCCAGTACCTCCCCACCTCTCCAACCTGCTTACTCCCCAACCACACAACCGCTGCTCCACTCAATCGTCTCTGGCCTCCTGCTGTCCTCGTGCCCGCCATTCCACCATTGCCGTCCGCGCTTTCAGGCATTCCCCCGAACTTGACCTCTCTACTCCAATGCCTCTGCCTTGCCCCTCCTTCTCATCTTTAGGTTATGCCTGAAGACCTTCCTATTCACCATATCAAGTACTGTCAGTGCTCTGGACCGACTCTGGCATGAGGCGCACTATTAAATACAGTTGTTGTTGATTTGTGTTTTCAGGGTTTGATGCACATTGGCTGTATGTTCTCAGGGTTTGATGCATGTTGGCTGTATGTTCTCAGGGTTTAATGCAGTTGGCTGTATGTTCTCAGGGTTTGATGCGTGTTGGCTGTATGTTCTCAGTGTTTGATGCGTGTTGTCTGCATGTTCTCAGGATTTACTCTGTGGGGCTCGCAAACGTCCTGGAACTGGAACGCGGTTGACGTGGGGCCACGGCGGGACCTGGTGGCGGAGCTGGGAGACGCGATCAGAGGTAGAACGGATTTGAGGTTCGGGCTCTACCACTCCCCTCGGGGTTCTGTTCGACCCTGAGCTGTCCTTTCTTCCTCATATCCGCACCACAACTGGCACCGCCTTCCATCACCCCCAGAATATCGCCAGACTACGGCACTACCTCACCCCTCACGCTGCTGAAACTCTGGTCCACACCTTTATCACCTCAAGGCTGGACTATGTGAACTCTCTCCTCGCCGGCCTTCCCAGTAACTCCCTCCACAAGCTGCAGGTCATTCAGAACTCTGCAGCTCGTGTACTGTCCCGCACCAGGATTCACGACCACATCACTCCCACCCTCGCTCGCCTCCACTGGCTCCCCATCCCCCAGAGGATCGAATTCAAGATTCTCATCCTCACCTACAAGGCCATTCACGGCCTTGCTCCCTCCTACCTCTCCGACCTACTTCCCCCTACTTACCTGCCCGTTCTTCCGTTCCTCTGGCTCCGGTCTCCTCCACATCCCCCGCCCCAAACGCCCTACCATCGGTACCATTTCCCCCCTGCTCAGGCCCTGACCCAACTGTACAGCGCCGTGGGATGTCCTCCCGACGTGAAAGGCGCTCAATAAATGGAATCTTGTTGTTGTTATTTTTAGTTTTGGGTCCATACTTTCCACTATTCCCGATGATTGAGGATGGTGCAATATGGAATTCCTGTGTAATTCCAGCAACTGCGTTGCACATCCCATCACCTTCCTTGTAAAGTGAGACCCTTGATCCAAATCAACAGCACCAGGATATTAGTTGTAGTCGCTGTAACGTAATAGTGCTGATTGATGTCCAGACGTGGGAGCATCATATACTTATTGTAAAAAGTCATTACAATTTAATTTATCAGTAAGTATTAAGAAGAGTGTAAAGGAAGTGTTAAAAAAAATTGCAAGGGATTTTAAAACTAATAGTGAAAGCTATTATAAATATATTAAAGAAAGAAAATGGTCAACAGGAATGTGGGTCCGTTATTGACAGATGTAGGTGAGAATATAGTAAATAAGGAAATGGCTGACTTGTTATATAAATACTTAGCTACCGTTTTTACAGTAGAGGGTGAGGACAAAATAGCAGCCATAGAGGGGAACCTAAAAATAAGTCAAAGAGAAATGCTTAATAAAATTAATAGAAATAAAAAAATGTTAATGGAGAAAATAATGAGATTCAAGATAAACAAATCTCCAGGACCTGATAGTTCCACCCCAGGGTGTTAAAGGAAATAGGAGAGGAATTTACAGATGCATTTGTCTCTTTATTAAATTCCTAAAGTAATATGGATGTTGCGATGTGAGACGGATGGTTGGACTTTTGTGTGTGAGTGGGAGATTTGCAAACCTGAGTTTATTTGACTTCAGACTGAGCTCATTCAGCCACACACCTTGTTCTATGCAAACCCCCAGATATTGTGATAATGGGTTAGACACACACTCCGTGAGAGCAGAGCTGGTAACATCCAGACTTGACAATACTAACCCCCTGCTCACTAGATTTCCCAACTCTTTCATACCCAAGATGTAGATTATTCAGGACTCTCTTTGCGACCCCCAGTCCCCTGATATTCTGTCAGTTTGCCTGTCAGACCTAAGTAGTTCGATGTCCGCAAATTTCCTTCAGCTGAAAGTTGACAAGACGGAAGCCATACTTTTTTGCCCTCATGAACGTCGGAAATCTCACCTTTCTCACATCATCCACCCACCCAACCTCCGCCTATCACTTTCCGACCCGTACGCAACCCAGGCATCAGGTTCGACACCCAATTATCCTTCCTCCCCCACATCCGGTTCCTCACCAGCACCGCTTTCTTCCTCTCTGGCCTCAACCAAGTCATCCTTCTATTCCAGGTTAATCCTGGAGGCGAAAGGCAACCCCAGGCTCCACCATCAAACGGCTCCTCCACCCTCCCCGACACACCTCGCAGATACTTTATTCTGACTGTCACTGCGAGAAAATGCTGGACTTCCTCAAGTCCAAAATCAAGGGGTTCCCCTCAGCTGCCACTGCCCTCCCAACTTCCACCCCCTCTCTACCCCCACCCCACACAATTACCCATCCGACAATTACCCAACCCTCCTTCCACACCTTTGAACCTGTCACGCCCATCAACACGGTAGCCTCCATGAAGCCCATCATATGCTCACTGGACCCCATCCCCAACCCTCTCCTTCAATCCCAGCTCCACCTCCGTGCTCCACTACTCGCTGACAACATTAAACTCTCCCTGTCATCTGGCACCTTTACATTCTCCCTCAAACCTGAAACTGTCACTCCCCCTTGAAGAAACCTTTCCTTGACCCATCACAGCTATCCAGCTACGGGTCCGTCTCAAATCTCACTTCCTATCCAAGGTCCTTGAGAGAACCGTTGCCTCGATTACGGGAACTCCCTCATCATCGGCCTTCCAAAATCTTCCCTTAACAAGCTGCAGATCATCCAAAACTCTGAAGCTCGTGTACTCTCACACAACAAACTCCGTGACCACATCACTCCCACCCTCGCCTGACTCCACTGGCTCCCCATCACCCAGAGGATCGAGCACAAGATCCTCGTTCTCACCTTTAAGGCCACCCATGGCCTTGCCCACTTCTACCAACCTGCCCGCTCCCTCCTTTCATTGGGATCCGGCCTTCTCCATGTCTCCCGCCCGACCCGCCCAGGCTTTCAACATCTGTGCTCCCACACTCTGGAACTCCTTTCCACAGTCCCTTTGACTCGCTTCCTCTCTTGCCACCTTCAAGGCAGTCTCAAGACCCTTCTCTTTGACCGTGCCTTTTGGTCTTCCTCCCACCTCTCTGCCTTCCCTCAACTACTACATCCCCGTTGACCATGCTCGGGCCCCGACACCTGACGGTTCAGCGCTTTGGGATGCCCTCCCTATGTGAAAGGCGCTCTATAAATGTAACACAACATAACATAACATGTAGGAGCAGGAGTAGGCCATTCGGTCCTTCGAGCCTGCCCCGCCATTCAATCATGGCTGATCTTCGAATCTAACTCCAGCTAATAACCTGACCCTGTCTTATCCCCATATTCCTTAATCCCTTTTGCAACAAGAAATCTATCTAACTTAGTCTTGAATATGTTCAATGACTGAGCGTCAACAGCCCTTTGGGGTAGTGAGTTCCATACATTCACCACCCTTTGAGTGAAGAAGTTCTTCCTCAACTCAGTGCGAAAGGGCTGCCTCTGATTTTAAATTTGTGACCCCTGGTTTTAGTTTCTCCAATGTAATTTTGTTGTTGTGTTGTTATTGAATTGACTTCCACCAGACTTTCAGGCAATGCATTCCAGATCCCAA